GTTTGGCAACATTACATTTATACATTGACAAATGATAGAAAACACATTTTTCAATGCATATTTACATTGATAATAAGATACAAAAGTACATCAACAAAAAGACGTAAATTTGCATTCCAGTGGACTTTTGATAAAAAAGACATATGCTTTATTGGAATTCGTGTTTACATCTATTACAACTAAAAGTCTATTTGGTAAGAAGGGAAATGTGTCGGTGCAAAACTAACTCAACTTTGCAATTTATATGAATTGTTTTATACTCTACATATTTGCATCGTTTCCAAACACAGCCTCAAACACAAACTACTACAATGAAAATGCATAAGACTAATGACAATGAGGTGCAACTAATTTACATGGAAAAATTAAATGACGTGAGGTGCAAATAAATTACATGTGATGGTTGTCATGAAAATATGAAATGCCTAGAACTAGGGGTGAGCATTATTCGGTTAAAACCGAATTACTGAACTGAAAATTTCAGTTTCGGTTTTTTCGTTTCATTTTTTTTTCAGTTTTTGAGAAATTCGGTTCGATTAATTCCATTTTTAATAATTTTGGTTTTCAGATTTAGAAATTCAGTTAACCGAATTAGTTAAAATTCATTATATAATATATAATGTATAATATATAATATACAATATATAATATTTAATATATATATATATATAATATGCTATATATCTATATATTAATATATTATATATAATCTATTATAATGAAATTAAATTTTATAATATATTATAATAATATATATTATAGATTATAGTATATAATATTATATATAATAATAACTAAATTCGGTTTTTAACTGAAAATATAACAAAAATTTTGGTTTTATTGAAAATCGGTTTCAGTTTTGGTTTTAAAAATTCAGTTTATTCGATTCAATTTCTAATCGAATAAACCGAATGCTCACCCTTACATAGAATAGGATTTTGCATGGAATTCTTATGCATTCTAATAATACATGGATCGAACGGACTTAACTACTCGTTATTGGAGTGCTTTATGCATTATTGGTAGGCCAAAATAAATTGTCATAAAGCTCACATATTGTTGACATGTAACTAAGGTAAAGCATGTAACTTAAAAACATCGTAATATAGGATATCTCTTATACATGATTAAGTTTCTTTAAGTCCAACTATCAAATGTTTAGTTCATTAATTAATCTAATTATTTTTTGATTGGTCATCAACAAACCATTGGAATTTTCAAAACAAACCATTGAGTATAGTGACATCACCTAACAGTAGGGACCTTTCAAATGGTAGTACTTCGTCACCACCATAGTATGACTGTTCAATGTTATACTATGGTGATAATGAATCCTACCAACGACTAAGTCAAGGCAAGTGCAATAACACCTATTCACATCGATACAACCTAATCATGGGTATTGGGCCACCGTATGCCATTTACTTATTACATCGACTAATAAAACACCCACCAACACAAAATTCTCGTTTATATCAGAATACAACATATCATGTATGTGTGGGTTCCCATATGTGCATTGAATCAAATACATGTGTCCTAATCATACCAAATAATTTCCACTATTGAAATGATCCTCGTAGCCATTAATATCAAATACGTGTGTGGGTAAATGTGGCAGTTATAGCTGTTCATGGGCCGGGTAACCCGATGGCTCAGCTCGTTATTTTTGGTTTTGGACAAAACTTCAGACCCACGGGTTCGAGTTCAGGTTTTAAATATCAGGCTCGGTCATTTTATGGGTTGGGCTTGGGTTTTTTCAAATAAGTCTAGTTCGGGCCCGAGCCCGGTCCGATACTATTACATATAATAAAAAAATATTTATATTATATAATATATATTTATTTCTTAAATTATTAATAAATATTAATTTACTATTATGAAATATAAATTAGCTTATTAATTTTTAAATTATTACTAAATTAATATAATATTACTTTATAAAAATACACTAAAAAATAAGACATTTTATGTATAGGTTGGGCTTCAGGTTTGGACTCGAGCTCAATATCTATATCTGATGATCGGACTCGGGCTCGGGCTCAGGCCTATACATTTTTTATTGATAAAGAGACAAAACCCGAACCCAACCCAACCCAACCCAGCCCATGAAGAGGTCTAATGGCAGCCAATGCCACAATTCTTTATTCAAGACCGGTCCTTGACAAACCACAATAGCAACACAAAAAGAAAACAAGCAAATAACAAGACATGGCGTACTCTATCCAAACCTCAATACTTAAAAGAACCTTTTGAATAAATAAGTATTTTCCTTCAAAAAGATTACTCACAAGTATTGACGCTTTAACGGTTCAGATTAGGGTTTTAATGGCAACATAATTTTGCAAAAGGAATAGGGTTTGATGATGGGCGAAATCAACACATCTACCACTTGGCGCCACGTCACCTCGGAGACCTCAGGACTTTCTTGAGCGACCTYAGAAATCATTTGACATCAAGATGGGTCCATGTATCAACAAGTGGCCTCGGTAGATCATTCATGACGGTCAAATCAAAGCCGCCCAATACATCGGTTCCACCTCGGGCTCCTTGGGATATTAGACGACCCAAGCACAAATTAACATTCCCGTAGAATGACCCCAACCTGCCACGTCAGCATGGGGAACGCGTTTCCAAGTAGTTAACATCTCCGAGATCCTCGAGAACATGTCGAGTAACCAACGGAAGTGGCAAACGACTCATCTAGAAAATGCTCTTATGGGCCCCTAAGAATTCGGACACCAAGATCCATTACTTCTGAGAATCTCGGGAGTGCCTTGATCATCCCCCAATTAGACATGTTCACGGGCCGGGCTTTGGGCCCAATTTTACACTATCTCGGGCTCGGGCTTCAGGCCAAGTCCATTAGAATTTTGACAAAAGCCAAGTCCGAACCCAACCCATGAACAGGTCTACCCCCAACTCTATAAAAGGGGGGGGGGTGCCTTCACCTTCATGTGGTATGCTCTCTGATAAGGTATTCTAACTCTCTTTGCTCTCTTTGCTTGGAACTATCTATCAACCCATCCAGTTCAGCACTAACTTGACCGTCAAAGCCTCCTCACCTGGGCTCAGAACCCAGGCTCTCTAACATCCTCTTTTTTGCAAGGTTCAGGCCACTCACTGCTCTCACTCAAAGCTCTCCAAGTAGATTGAGCACCATCAGGGTTTAACATGATTTTACTTGCTTACTTGTAACCAGGAACATTACCTTTCAATGGCGCACAACCTTCGGGTGTTGCAACACTCGTTACTTTTAGGCTAGTGGGTTCGTGGATTTGGGGTTTCAAGTGGATTGAGAGGTGGTGATGTTCAGAGGTGCCAAAACATAGCCCAAATGAATCATTTAATCCCCTTTTGGGTGACAAACCAAAAGGGCAAGAGAGTCGTTTCACATTTTTGACATTTTAGTGTTTTTTCTATGGTTTTTAAAATCGACCCGGTGACCGAACCGGTCAGGGGTCCGGTTATTGGTTTGAACGTTCCGACTGTTCAACCCGAATGGTTGGCCTGTTCTGACAAAAAAAAACAAAAAAATAAAAAATTGAAAAACGGTCAAAACCGTTTAAACGGTTCGAACAGTTAATCGGTCGGTTCAGCGGTTTGCTGACCAAAATCAAGGGTTTTGAGGGAAAAAGTGGTTTTGGGGAAAAATAGATGACTGGTTCCCAGTTTTTCCGTTCCGACCGTCCGGTCTGTTCTGATTTTGAAAACCATGATTTTTTTTCTCTTTATTGTTTATTCAAGGGTAATTTCAACATTTTGTCTTTTTCGACACAATTTAATGGTGATGTCAGTTGTCAGAAAACTTAGGGCACAATTTAATGGTAGAATAAGTCTATTTCCTAAAACTTAGGGGTATTTTAAGAGATTTTTCCATTTTTTTTTTTGTAATATTAAAGATACTTTTACTACTTAAAAGTTAGGACACTTGTCACATTCTCATTGCTTAGTATCATAAATCATGGTTTTCAAAACTGGATCAGACCGAACAGTCGAACTGGAAAAACTGGGAACTAGTCACCTGACCAGTTCCGTTTTCCCCCAAAACCGCTTTTTTCCCTAAAACCATTGATTTTGATAAACAAACCGCTGAACCAACCGATTAACCGTTCGAACAGTTTTAACCGTTTTCCAATTTTTTTTTTTAATTTTTTTACTTTTTGGTCAGAATGGGCCAACCATTCGAGTTGAACAATCAGACCGTTCGAACTGGTAACCAAACCCCTGACCAATTCGATCACCGATTCGTTTTTAAAAACCATGTCATAAATGGAGGAAATAAGTACACTCCTAAAACCTATCTCATTAGCATCGTCCAAGCCTTGGCCCAACGTATGAGGTCAGATAGGAGTGTAAGCGATCCAAACCTATTGCAAGTTAATTGAGCTTGGCTGGCTAAATACTCAAACTTGTAATTGCTTTTTGGTCTTGCTTAACTTGAGTCAAATAGTTTGTTGAGTTGACTTCGAACTTTGCAATACCCAGATTGAGTGGTTCGTGAGCCTAATTGAGTTTATAATGAAATGTTATTTTTAATATATTTGTATTTATAATATAAATATATTATTTTTTTGTATTAATTAATTTATAATATAAATAAATAGAATTATAATATTTTTATTTATAGTATTTATAATATTAATTTATATATAATTTTTCAATATGTATAATTGATTTTCATAATATATTTTTATTTTTTTTAATATGTAAAATATTAGTTTATTTATTATTTTTAATTCTAACCCTAACCCTTCTCGCCCCTTTTAACTTCAAACATCATTTCTTAACCAATCATGTTAAGAGCATTAGTTTATGCTTTATAAAATGTACTTATTTGGTGCATTCTATATTTTGTAACAAGTAAATTTACAGGAAATCAAATTATAAGCTAAAAAAGATTTACCAAAAAATTATAAGGAAGATACATCTAAATTGCAATTTAACAACGAAGTAAAAATAAAAAAATGGGAGAAATTAAAAGGGGACGACTTCAAATTGACATGTGTCATCAAAAAACTAATTTGTCTATACGTATATAAAACGAACCAAGAATTGTTTACCAAAAAAGAAAACAATAATTGGCAAGCTTAACCCTGCAAACAGGATTTCTCTTTCTTGTTTTTACTCTTGTTCTTTCTAATCGGGTCCAACCGTCCTTTTCTTCTACAGACAAAACCTGTTTATGATTTCTAAACCCTAATTTTGTTCCCTAATCAAACATCAAGGACAGAATAAATCGCTGAGTTTCTCCACTAACCATCCAATTCACACTCATAGATCGAAGGCACGAACGAGTCAAGATCGTCGAAGATAATAAGGTCGTCCAGGTCGGCGTAGCTTCCGGAATCGGGGCAATCGAAGTACGTCTGTATGTCATCTGGAAAACTGCACCGAGGCGGGTCAGCCTCAGATTCCGGCGGGGTAGACGGGGAGTCGGCCGTCGACGTCCTCTCGAGCATCTCCTTCAACTTCGATGACTGAAGCAACAGCCCCAGTGCCGACGAGGCGGTGGGGCTGCCGGTTGGTCGCGGCTGAGCAACGGCCGGCTCGCCCACGCCGGTGTCCTGGTGGTGGAGAAAGCTAGACCCAAGCTCGTGAATAGGGTCAAGGTTCGGGTTTGGGTTGTTATCCGGGTTATCGGGGTTGGGTCGGAGGCACTTGATGTAACGGCTGATGTCGAAGTTGGTAACGGCGTTGAGTCCCCGGTACTCGATAGCTGCTATATCGTATGCAGCTGCTGCTTCCTCTTGGGTGGCTGCAGGGAAATAGAGGGAAATGTTAGGGGTAATTCGGGAATTAAAAATACCAATTAACTAGAAGATTCGGTGGAGGTGGGGGGTTGAACAGAAATTATTGCAGGAAGTTTGAAATCTTTAAATAGCCGTTGGGAGTTGTTGATCTCTCTCCCAACTAACTAGAAATTTACTTATATCACCAGTCTCCAACTAAGTATTAACCAGCAAAGCTGCAATGGGGCATGGTCTTATTGGACTCTCATTTTGACAAGTGGCACTATATATTATATGACACGTGTCATTGGATAATTCATCCAAGGTCGGCCTATAGGAAATTGGGTCCCAGCTATTGTTTCAGTTGTTGCAGAAAAGGGTGTCAAGAAGTCATTCAATTTCTCATCCTACAATTTTTATTTCTTATGGGAATGTGGTATTGTCTATCAGGTAGTTGTGCTCTAGCTTACCAAAATGAGAAAAAAGGTGGGATGGCTGAAAGAATTGCCAAACTAAGCTCAATTTCTGTGTTTGTGGGTGGGTGTGGAATGAGTAAAAGCTCTACTTAACCAAACACAGTATATGTGTTTTGTTGGGTGGATGGGTGGGTGTAGAGAGACAACCTTTTTAAGTAATCTAACTTATAGGATTAGAGAGAGAGAAAGAGAGAGAGAGAGAGAGAGAGGTTGTTAAGTAATTAAAGGGTTTAGAAGGAATTACCAAATGTCCCAAGGTAGAGGTATTTGTTACCAAAAACTCTGCCAATCCGAGCTTCCCATCTTCCATTATGGTGATGTCTGCAAAGTGAACATCAGTTATCAATACAGAATCCCATAGAGAAGTAGTTGATGTCATGAAGCTATTATGCATGGTTGGGGTACTTTGGCCTTGCTGTTTGGTTGAATAATTCTCCTGTTCCAAATCTATTTAATTGACAAACATAAAAAAGAGAAAGAAAACCTAACATGTGAAGCTGTGAGTAAATGTTCCTTGCCAAATGTCCTATGTTTTGAATGTAAAGTAGGTACCATAGTCCTTGTGAAGTACACTGTTAGTTTGATGAAAAGTTGGAACTTTACAGAAGGAACTTTCCATATACATTAGAGGGGATTTCTAAATAGATTTTAGTTGCTATTCATTTAATTCCATAGTTACCTTGCAACCCCACGGTACTTTGAGACTCCCCTGGAAAACCCACTACTTTTCCTGAAAATTCAATCCATATAAACACCTCAGTTATTCAGCAAATTTGGATTTCTTTTTAGTAACTGTTGAAATTACCTTCTCAATGATCCGATGTATTCTTCTCTGGACAGGCCTTCCATTTCTTTTAGCTCTTCTTGGTATGTCGATAACTGTGGTAATCACATTCAATTAAACCATTACTAGCATGACATTAAGTTGGTTCAGGTTAGGTCTGATTAAGACAACCCTAACCAAATGAGCAGTTGCCTAACCCAAATCCAACCTTGAAACATTATGTTGGGTTAGGATCAGGTTTAATTCAGGTTGGCTTCATTTCACTACTTCCTTTTGCCAAATGTTATTATTTTAGCACCATTAAGAGGGTGTTTGACAATATGATTGGTTTTGTTTTGAAAACAAAATCAGTTGCAGCATCAACAAAAACAGTACAATTTTGCTGATGTGACAATTGTTTTTGTTTTCACAAGACCATGTTACGGAATATTCCCTATGATAAAATCCTTGCATGTAACTTCAAAATTTTGACATATAATATATATATATATATATATATTGGTCAAGGTTTCAACCTTAATCCAACCTAAAATTAAGTTGGATTCATGCTTTTCAACCCTAACTCAAACTTCAACCCGACCCGATCAAACCTAACATTTTCGGGCTGGTTCAAGCTAATCCGCTCCACGTTGCAGCCCTAACTTTTGTCTCCAGCCAACCCGGCCGGACTCATTCAGAAGGATGAGCCAAAGATTAGAACTGAACACATTAAAGGAATGAGAATAGACTCACCGGAAAATTAAGTACAGTGTCTTGTCCCCAGTACTTCAATGCTGCCGAGTCATAAGCATGTGCTGCTGCTTCCTCGTCGTCGTAAGCTCCTGAGCAGCCAAAACCACAACTGGGTTCAGACAACAAATATCATGTTTCAAGACAGAAACATGAAATCCTTTTGGATGTTCTTGGGTTGAACACTTGAACTTCAAATTTTCGCCTGAATGTTTGAACTAATACCGTTTTTGTTTGACTTAACACGAAAAAATGTTGTACTTACCAAGATAGACTGTATTTCATTCGAATCCGCCACAAAACCCAGTTGGAGGAAAAGCAAAAAAAAAAAAAAAAAGAGAGAGAGAGATATATTAATTCAATTTCATGGAAGAGAAAGAGAAGAATGTAATCGCAACAGGAGATGATCAAGGAACCTTGTCTTCCTTTCTTCTTTTGAGATTCACTCCAGCAATTCTTATCCCACAAATGAGCCTCATATCGACCCGTCCAGCGATGCCTGAAACAATGACAAGTTAAAAATATGTAAAGAATTGATCAGAAAAGAAGGAAAATTTGAATGATCCATGAACAGAATTCAACCTCGTGACTCCTCGGTAGATTGAGCTACGTTGAGCGGGAGAGTCTCTTGGGACACTCTTCCTGGTTCGTTTCAGCTTTGTTGCAGGTATGGTGTTGCTACCATTACAATTGTTGCTGTTTGCGGTGTTTCTCTGATTTTGGTGTGTCATCTTTGCCATCGGAGATTAATTAGCAGTGGAGAAATGAAATAGAGAAGAAGATATGTTGGAGAGACGATTAAGCCCTCCAACGGAGAGCTTTTTAAAGACAGACGTTGGGGCTTTGGGATTGGGAGTAGTCTCTCTCTCTCTCTCTCTTGTCTTTGCTTGTTATTTGTGCTATTCTTCCTATTATATTAACACCGAAATGGGTTCTCCCAGAATTTGGGCTTCTTCAGCCCTCCCTCCTACATCTCTCTCTCTTAGCTGGTAATTGTTGGCCAGAACTAAACCTTTCAGTATCCAGGTTGGCCAACTCCTCCCAGGTCTAGTCTTGGATCGGGCTGGGGGATACCAATTCAACCAGGATTAACCTACCATGGCCCCCACCAACCCAAGGACTTGGCTAGCCTGGTCCTTTTTCACGGTTAGGTTAGACCCAAGAGGATATTGGCTCGGATTATTTTTCCATTATGGACCGAATTCAACCCTTTTTAACAGGATTCAGTGGCTCCAGCCAACCCTCCCCCCAATACGAGTCCGATCACCTGCCAACAAGACATGTTCCAACCCTCTACCAACATCATTTCATACCACACATCTCATACATGGCATAGGTCCTACTTTTGTGGTGGGTTCCAGTTCCAGTTTAAGTGAAATGTGTAGTGTTAGATGAAGTTGGTAGAGGGTTGGAACATGTTTTGTTGGTAAAAGATCAGCTCTGCCCACACGAAAAGGGGGAAAGAAGAAAAAAAGACAACCGAAATTATGTATTTATTTTTGTTATCACCGAAATTATATATTTTTAATGTATGTATAGGTGCTTTATAAATTATACATGGCAATTAGATGATGGTAGTGATAATATGTTTCTAAACTTTTTCTATAAGTTTTTATATTTATGTGTATAAATATAGTTCTTAGTGATTTTAAAGATGTGTCTAAATGTTTTCTACAAAATTTTTAGTGTTTTATATTTTTAACTTTTTTGCATATGTTTGGTTTTGTGGGCGTTTATTGAAAAAATGCCGCCACATCAGTGCCACATAGGCATTGGCATTTATTGCATATGAAACAACTGTCTGATTTCACCGTTTATCAAATAAATGGTAGAAAACTAAAATACTTTGATTTTTGTGCATGGGGCATTTGGGGAAACGTTAAATTATTGTTTCCCCAATGCCCCAACATTTCTTGAAAYCAAATGCTGATGCGACGCACTTTAATGGGTATTATTTGAGGTGAAAAGTAAAAAAACATTTAAAGTGATGCCCAGCCAAACAACAAAAACAAGAAATGTTTAAAGTGAAAAAGTACAAATAAGCGGCCCATCCATAAACGCCCACGGAATCAAACACATACTTTATCTATTTATGACATAAATGGTTGACACATTTGATACAAAAAATTGAATTATATTGTTGACTTGGCCACCAAATAGGAAAACAATTTCACTTCTGGGTTAGCTTTAAATTTTATCTTTCATTTCCATCATCCATAAAAATAACTCTTATTTATTTCATTACTTATTTTCTTTAATATGACTAATATATATGAAGTATTAGAGATGTGTTCACATTTTTCTATAAAATTTATGCATTTTTTCATAATTCTTTTCTTTATTTCTTTTTTATTTTTATTATTTAATTATGATATCAAGTGTTGACACATTTCACTTAGGTGGAATTGTCGACACACCACCAAATAGGAAAACGATTTCATTTTTGAGATGGTTTTAAATTTAATTTGTATTTCATTTCAATCACCAATGAAAGAAATTCTTATYTATCACAATTTTTTTCTTTAATAATGTTAATATAATCGATATTTCTATTTTTTTCATTTTTCGTGTTTTGATGTTTTTTTAAATTTTATTATTTAACTTTGACATGAAGAGTTGACATACTTGACCCAAAAGGTTGAATTGTTGACACGCCACCAAATACGAAAACAATTTCATTTTTGGGTTAGTTTTAAAATTTGTCTTTCATTGTTAACATCAATAAGAACAATTATTATTTATTACACTTATTTTTCTTTAGTATGATTAATATATATTAGAGATGTTCTCATTTTTCTATATTTTCATTTTTTATTTTTTCTATTTTAAAAGTTTTATTATTTAAATATGATATCATGGGTTGACCCTTTTGACTTAGATGGTTAAATTACTCTGAACAATTTCATTTTAAAAGTCATATGTTTTATATTGTTAAAAGTATTGGATATAGATTCAATTGATAGAATTTACTGATGATAAAAAATAGCTTAAATATAAGATTCAACAAAAGAGAATGAGTTAATACCTTAAATGTTAGACTTAATGTGAGTGACTTGAATGAGGTGAAAAGTAGTAATTCAAATTATATTTCCTACAAGGTTCAAAAAATCGATACGATACACCCGATACGGGGGCGTATCGTATCGTATCTTTTGGGTCACCTTTTTTAACTCCCAAAAACCAAAATTTGAAATAAAAAACAAAAAAAAGTTAATTCCATGTGTATACGCAGAGGCGTATCGATACTTTGAACCATGATTACCTACCCTTATAATTARAGAGCGATCAAATTAATAAATAAGGGTATTTTAGTCAATAATAAGATTTAATAAAAGATAAATGAGAGTTAATACCTTAAATATAAAAAGACATAATGAGATCGAATTAAATGAGGTGCAAAGTAATAGTTCAAATTACCTTTTTTGCTCTCACAATTAGAAAGAAATCAAATGAAAAATAGGGGTATCTTAATCAAACAAAAGTCCCATACTCTCTCATTCATACTTTTAATAGTACTATAGATAGAGATGTTTCTAGATTAATGTGGAGTTTATAAATTGTAAGCATTAGAAAATTACTCCTCACCTGGATAAGTTTTGATTTTTCACAAAAAATAAATTCAAATTGATTTATTCCTTTCTTGGTTCACTAAAAAGTGGTAACATTCCTAGGTCTAGTCCACTACTTGGTTTAGCCTACTCAAGGACATAACCGTAGCAGGTGTAGTTTMCTCACCCATTTAATGAATGTTAGTATGCATGAACAAATTTTATTTGTTTATACCTTTCGATTCTTGCAAATCATTATTTTTTTTTATTGGTATGTGAATGATACCATTGTAGATGTCTACTAATGCACCAATTATTTAAGCAAATTAGACTTTAAACCAAGAAAGCATTTTCATAGATTTGTTGATTGAACAAGTCCAAAAAGACAGGATGATTGTAAGGTGTTTGAAGGCAAGTGCATGGAATGAAGCTAAAAATGCCTTTCTTTTTTACTAAACTTGGTTTGAAGTTTAATACAAAGGCCTTTAACAATAAGATTCAAGATTTAAAGTCTAAGTACAAGGTTGGTTCAAGATATACAACCATGTCTGGGTTCTTATTCCCTTGCTGTTTTGAGAGGTATCACTTAAAAGACTTCATGGAAAGAAGTAGTCATTCTAAACTATTGAAGAAAAATTCAACTATGTAAATTCTTTGTTAAGAAATGTTATAGAGTGTTGCTTTGGTGTCTTAAAAACCAGATTTTTAATTTTGAAGTTGATGCCATCATATTTAATGCATAAAAAAATACGAATTGTTTTTATATATTTTGTGTTACACAACTTCATTAGGTTGTCACGTACATAAGATAAATAATGAAATGATTTCTTTGTACCAAAAACACCAATTGAAGGTGAGGAGAGAATGCTCCACAATTTTTTTTTTCCAAAAAACACTTGATGTTAGTTCCAAGCATGTAGATAGATGAAACTAGTGCAAAATGAAATCATGTTTTGAATGGTAAAACATTACTACTTGAGAGTTATTTGCCCTCAGTCAAAGAACATTAGAAGGTGGGCAACATAATTAGTATTTTTTCTTCAGATGTGTTGTGTTTTTATTTGAAGACATGTATTAGATTGTTTGTRTTGAATTATTTGTCAAAAAGAATTATTCATGTTAAATTAGTTGCAGGTATTGAAATAGTGTTTGTTATTTGTTAAAAATAGTTACATTGATTTATTTGTATAGGAACGTGTGAGTAGGCCGCCCATAAGTGATAACCGCATATCTTAATGTATAGATGGGGACTACATTGATATCTTGTATAGGAAAATGCAAGAGTAGGTCTTACCTTAATATTTTGTATAGGTAAATGTATAACTGGGACCCATGAGTCCTATTTATATGTTTGAATATGTTACTTTGTCCAACACATGACATTTTACATGTATGTAAGAGGAGCTTATAAATATGCTTACRAAACGGTCTTTTGTCCTTCTAGCTTTGAGATTATTGAAAAAAATTGTAATCAAATGGTTTTTGGTCTTTGAAGATATATCTATGAAAGCTCATCGATCTTTTAAGGTCTTGAACTTTTGGAAGATCTTCCTAAAATCACTTTCCAAATGTCCTCCCAAGTTATGTACAAACATGAATAAAAGAACAAAACTAAAATATACATGCAAAGTATTATTTATCATAAGACAAGAATTATAATATTTTAATAACAAAGAAAAGGTCATTACACCCTCAAAGCAGGATGCAAACATTAAAAGAACTTCAACTAAACAAAACAAACATGCATAATAACAAAAAATTGAATCTACTTAGAATTTTGAATCAGGCATCATATGTTTTCGCTGCAAAAGCCACCAAATTGGGTCACCATCAAAATTAAAGAGGAATGCCATCTGCTGACTTAAAAGAGGGTTGTTTATCAATGTTAAAAAATGACAAAAAAGGGGCCTAAAAATTCTGACCCTGGGTAAAGGCTATTTTTGGTTTGTAAGGTGTCTGCTTTTATTTGTTGGTTGATTGGTTTCCCCGATGGGTCTTTTATCCCCTGGGTGGTGGAATTTCTTGTTGTTTTCTTTCTCTTCTGTCCCTTTTTATTTTGCTTTTTTCTTTTCTTTTTGTCTTCTGTTTTTGCTTTTTGAACTTTTCTTACTATTTGAAGTTGGTTTCTTTCTTTTGTTCTCTTCGTTATTTCTATTGGTTGTTTTGGAATGGATACTATGCATGCAAGACTTGTACTATGCTTTTGAGGGAGTGGTTTCAGAGGGGGTAAGGATTATGGAGTTGATGCAGTAGATACAAGGTAGAGATTTGATAAGTTGCGGTACTATGTAAATTGGTTGAGTCTTCCCTAA